AATTATATATTTCCTTTTAAAGGAATACATTTAAGACAAACATAATTTTCCCACAAACTATACTCAATACGATACATAATGTCATTATGATGATCTACACGTGATCCGCAATAAAGTTTCCTGACCTCGCAATAATGAATACTTTGTCACTTCATTGACAAGCTTATCATTATTATTGCTCGATTGTAGACTTTATTGCTATGACATAAAAAAACATATGGGAAACAAAAAGAGGATCGAAATTGGCAAAACCCCATCTTTCTAGAAATTTGCAATTTTGCTGTACCAACTGAATGTAAATATAACATAACAGCTTTGCTGTTCCAACCTCCTATGGCACGGATCTGTGTTAGCGACAGCCCTGCCTCCATTGCAGCAGTTGCGCCACCTATTCTAATACTGTGGGCGGTAAATTTTCTCTGCACCTTTGCATTTTCTGCAATTTTTTTAACAATAGAACCAACAGCCCCCACAGTTAACTGCTTCCCTTGTTTAGATAGAAAAAGAGAACTATTATCCACAGTCTTAGGCCTTACTAATATATACTTCTTTAATAATCTAACTGGGCAGTAACAACTGTTTGATAATTCTATAGGGATAAACCTCCCATTAGCAAACTAATCTGTCTTTGAAGAACTTATTCAGATCCAGCAAAGCTTCTCTTCAAATTTGATATCTCGAACTTTTAGATTACACAATTCACCAGGCCGCCTTATAATTCTTAAACCTAGGGCCACTAGTGCAGCATCTCGGAACCAAAACTCATTATGTACATAAAGTGGCTTCTTATTAACAAAACACTTTAAAGCAAAAACTGGTAAGGTATCATGAGGCCATTTAGGTTCCTTATCCTTTTTATATTCCTTTAAAAGAGCTTTATAGACTCTTTTAACCTGATACTCTTTAGAAGGATCTGGGAGCTAAGCTTCTAAGTGACTTCTGGACACTGCTGTTAATACATCAGCACAAACTGCAAACGAATGGGTAAGATCAAGCCAGACAATGAACGAAGCAAGATTATCTACCTCAGAAGGTAAAGGTATTAAACTCATGATCTTACAATAGTTTTTAAACAATTCCCATGTCTTATCTAAACGCTGGTTCCAGTTATTTGAAACAGCACCTCTTTTCAAGGCCCGTGCTCTGCTAAGTAACATACTTACTAACTCACTCTTACTGCCAGGAACTGCCAACTTAGGTTTTTTCAAGGTTCCACTACTCCTGAACAGCCTCTCATGAAAGTGATCTGAACTGGGGGCAAAACTATATAATCTATTTGTATATGCATTAGAATTGGCTACCACTCTGCTAAGACCCACTTTGGAACTATTATTGTAGCTGCTGCTTTTTCCTCTACTATATGATATAGAACCCGATGGATTAGAGCCAGTGGAGGACATACATAATTGTTTTCCTTGGACCAGTTCTGGGCAAAGCAATTTATACCTTCGGTGTTGGGGCAGTAGAATCTGCTGTTGAAACGGACCAATTTTGAATTCTGATAGTCTGCTATACGATCTATTGAGTGAGGTCCCCAATTTTCTTCTAATAGGTTGAAAATTGATTGGCTTAGACACCAATCGTTTGTATCTATAAATCTGGTCAGCTCGTCTGCCAGATTTAATGCTGAAGGAATCCAAAAAACTTTGCTAATCTAAATATCGTTTTTGTCCAATATATCCCATAGTCTTCATAGCAGATCTTTTTGCCAAGGAAGTCTGCCTCCTTTTATTACTGTACTGATTGCACCCCGATTGTCTATATGCAAATCTATCCAAAAATGCTTCAAAAGATTTGCAAAAGAGTTTTTTCCCAGAATTACTGCTTCTGCTTCTAATTGGATAATCTCTCTGTGAGACTTTTTTGAGCTCCAATTTCCAAATGCCTGGTGATCTTCCAATACTGCTGACCACCCAACTGTTGAAGCATCAACAAAAACTTGCTTTACTTTTGATGGCTTCCAAGCTGGACGCCCATTTTGTTTTCTTAAATTCTGAACTACCCACTTTGCATCTTCTCTGGCTTGCTCTGTTAGATCTACTCACGAATCCCATTGCCAAAAACCTCTGTTTGCAGTATCTATAATGGAATAAAATTCCAGACAACGAACTTTTGCATGAGCAAAAGCCCTGTTCAAAGATTGAATCTTTCCTGCCATTGCTGCCAACTCCCGTGCTAAAATTCTCTTTTTCTCTGCCAATTCTTGCAATAACTTTTCTGTTACTACAATCTTTTCTTCTAGTACTATTACCTGAGCTTTTACTGTATCTATAATCAGACCAAAAAATTTTACCTGCTGAGATGGCACCCACTAACCCTTTGTAGGTTCTCTTATCAACCCACAATTCTCCAAGTCTGTCAATATTATTTGATCCCTTATTGCAATCAAGGTATCTATTGAGGGATGTGCTAGCCAAAAATTGTCTAAATAATTTCCACAAAACAGACCTAGAGATCTCCAATAACCTACTATAGCTCTCATAACCTTTGAGAAAATCCAAACTGCCTGTGACAGGCCAAAAGGAAGCACTCTGTAGTAATACCAATTCTTTAATATCCTGAAATCAAGGAAACGTTGAGCATTCTCTCTCATCATCACGTGATAGTATCCATCCTTGAGATCCCACGTGATGATGTACCAACCCTTGCCCACTGTTCAAAGTAGTCCACCTAAACCTTCTAGCTTTACTTTTTTCTCTGGTAGAGTAGTGTTTAAACGTCTTAAATCTATTACTAACTACCATTTTTTGAGGCCTTTCTTGGGCACCAGAAAAACTGGGCTTACTTCTAAAAGAAAATCGGATCTTCTTACTTGGTTCCCTAAACACTTTATTGCTGAAGAATCTAAAAGACGATTTAACTCTTTTTGCACCCACTCTACTTGCTCGCTTGACAGGATATACTGATTTGGAACTGGCTGTAGTGCAAGCACCAATGCCCCTCTTGGAAACAAAGGAACCCATTTACCAACCAATCCATAACTACCGGAGAAGGATTTATCTTGTGACGCCAATAACTTAATGCCTCTACTAACTGCATTCTTCCTACTACCGATTTCTGAAATGCCAACTTCACATTGATTATAGGTTCTTCTAAAATCAAGGCCCGAGTGTGGTCAAACTTCATTTTTGGGCTTTGAAGAGGCTCTTGAACCTGAGGATGGGCAGCTTGTGACAATGTGGCCAACACCTCCACAGTTGAAGCAGGTAATTGCCCCCTGACGACCTGCAAAGCTATATCCTTCTTTGCCACGAAAGGAATAAAACCCTTTGTCCTTTCTTTTATACCTCTTAAAAGACTCTCCTTTCTCAGAGTCTGATGAAGGAAGAGAAAAACCTTTTTCTCTTATGCTGGTTGCTACGAAACCTACTATTGTAGTTCCAGCTACTAAACTTGGGTACTGATGCAACAAGGGGAATACGTTCTTTATATTTCTCCATCATCTTATCGTTATTCCCAACTATTTGTAGTGCAGCACTCCAACCCCTATTATTAGCTAATCTTAGCATTACTGCACGTGTTTCTACATCATCCCGAACTCCTGCAAATTCCTTTCTAAAAGAAACCGGTAACCCTTTAATTGCTTTATCCAAACGCCTACTAGCCTTAGCCAAAAAATCATATTCATGTTGGTCACAAACTAACTTTAGGCCATTTTTCATCCAATAAATCACCCTCTTCAATCTCCTGATGCAAGGCAGAAAAACTCTTGTCCATCTTCTTTTCAATACTCCCCAAGGCCGATAGAAAGATGTCAACCAGAACAAACTCAATTTTTTCCTTTTTCTGAAAATGTGCGGCCAGAACATCTCTAAAAGCATTATCTGCTTCTTGAGATGTAGCATCCAAATCATCACCTGCTAGGTCAGTATCCCTCTCTTCTGTAATGATACCACCATCTCGTTCATTTCTCATCACCTGGGGGCCCCAACAAAACCCTCTGATACGTCATTGCTTCTTCCAAGGGAAGTGTTCGGTAACTTTCCCATTCTTTTCTCAAAAAACACATGCAGCCTCTCACTCAACTCTTCCTTGTTTCCACCCGTAGACAGCCCACAGGACGTACACAAATCTTTCAATTCGTTCAAGGTCAACTTGGTCCAGCTTACGACTGACATAGTCTCAAAAAAAAAGGCGAAGACAATTTATAAACTCGTTAAAAAACTGATTATTTATAATAACCTTAAAAAGGTATAAAAATTTTATTTTCTTAGGTATGATACGATAGAGCCAGCCTATACCAAGGCGAGCGATAGCGAACAGAAGAATAACAAACATCTACCCAGCATACAGGTCTTAAATACCTCTAGCCCAGTAACGCACTCCCACCCAAAGCACTTGCATAAACATACAATTACAACATACTAACGAAAACAATTATTTATTTCCTTTTAAAGGAATACATTTAAGACAAACATAATTTTCCCACAAACTATACTCAATACGATACATACAGTAGGAATCATAAGTATCCCACCTCCTCTAACTTTTTAAATTTAAAAAATATAGCTTTGAAATTTTTATAGCAAGTAGTACTATATAAATCTAGATCAGTA